AATCCTCAGATCCTCAGATCTAGTTTTATGTACAGCAACAAATATAATTCAAGGATAATCACTTGGTCATTCTCCTAAAGCATACAGTGCTTTACAGAGAATGCACATGGGGTACATGGGTGGCTCAGTCAGTTGAGCATCTGACTCTTGGTTTGGGTTCAGGTCATGATCTGAGAGTTGTGGGATCAAGTCTCTTGTTGGGCTTTGTGTTCAGCATGGAGTCTGCTTGGGATTCTCCCTCTCTTCTCGCAAATAAATAAATAAATACCTTAAAAAAAAAAGGACACTTGTGTGGCTCACTTGCTTAGGTATCTGCCTTTGGCTCAGGTCATGATCCCAGGACCCTGAGATTGAATCCTGCATCGGGCTCCTTGCTCATTGGGGAGCCTGCTTCTCCCTCTACTTCTGCCCCTCCCCCTGGTCATGCTCACTCCCTGTCTAATAAATAAAATCTTAAAAAAAAAAAAGAATTCTCATAATATAGCAGCTAGTGCTACAGGTGTTTTCCAAACAGCTCTGTGAAAAGATGCCCATTAATCAATGGTTATAAAGCATCCTACACAATTAACTTGAACTCATGGGTTAACACTGAAACTTACATTACCAACATTATTGTTTAATGCACTACTATATATTTTACTAGCTAGTATATAGTAAAAATAAACCATACCACCTGTTAAGGTCCAGTATATTTAATCACATAAAATGTGAGGTTGCATTAATATAGTATTAGTGAAATAACCAGAGAAAGTCTGTAGTAGCCCGCTGGACGTGATGGCAGTTTGAAGAGAGGAACGCCAATTGTGTTCTATCTGAATTCACATGATTGTGGAATCCATTATCAGTCTTTTTCTGTACTGTAACTAAGTATCAGATTTGTATGTATGGCAACAAAGCCTGTTCTAATGACAAGGAAAATGCAAAGTAAGGGTTCGATAACAGAGATCTCAAAGGACAAATCAGGGCACCTAGGTGGCTCAGTTGGTTGAAGATCTGCTTTCAGCTCAGGTCATGATCCCCGAGTCCTGGGATCGAGCCCCATGTCGGCTCCCTGCTCAGTGGAGACTGCTTTTCCCTTTCTCTCTCCCGCTGCTTAGGCTTTCTCTCTCTCTCCCTCTTGCTCTATCTCAAATAAGTAAAATCTGTTTTGTTTGTTTTTTTTTTTTAAAAAAAGGATGATCTCGATGCCTGAGTGGTTCAGTCAATTAAACGTCTGACTTTGGCTCAGGTCATGATCCCAGAGTGCTGGGATCGAGCCCCGACTGGGCTCTGTGCTCAGTGGGGAACCTGCTTCTCTCTGTGCCTGCTTATGCTCTCTCTGACAAGTAAATAAAATCTTAGGGGGGGAAAAAGGACAAAGCTGTAGGACTTGGGAGGACTGGATAGATGGAGGAGATGAGGGTAAATAAATGACACTCCTGGATCACTTGAAGCATGAAGATGGTGACAGACAAGGCAGAGGTAGAAGTGGTTTCATTCCATTGTTTGGATTGGTAAAGGGATCGAAGGGAAGTATAGGTTGGTTTTAATTATGTTATTTCAAGGTGATGATGGAAAGCTCAAATGACTAGGCAGTTACAGAACTTGAATTTGAGCTCAGGCTTTGGTTAAATGGTTCTCATGGACAAAACAGTAAGGAGTCTAAGAATCCTTTCAGAAGGGAACAGAGCACTGAGTAAGAATCATTTGAGAGGTAGAACCACATTAACTTAAGAGCTAACATTTGAAGTTTATAATATCTTTTTACACACTTTTTTTAATGGAAACCTTGAGAGGTGAGAGGTTAGTTTCAAGTAGATTTACTCATTATAAATATTTATTAAGTGCTTCTGGGAATACAAGGGTAAGTCACAGACTTTGCCCTTAATGAGTTTCCAGTGTAATGGGAGACAAGTAAACAAGTAATTAGGGGCCCTGATTCCAGCACTAACAATGCTGTTTAGTAACTGGCTATTTATTTACTAGTCTCCATCACAGAAAAATCATGAAGTTAAGGAATAGTGTCTTTATCACTCTTACATCTCCAAAGCCTAGCGTAGATCTAGCACATAGGCACTCAGGAAATATTCTAAATGAATTAAATGAAAATAGTTAAGTCTCGGCAATGATGAGTACTACTTCATGGCAGAACATGAGCTGTACGGGGAGAGTGAAGTGTTAGGAAATATGGTTAGTGAATAGTGGGTTGGAGATCAGATTTTGGAAAGTCTTACATGTTATGCCAAGGGATTTATAGGTGGCATACTGAGGATTCAAAGAGAATGTCAGAGGGATGCCTGGGTGGCTCGGTTGGTTATCCAGCTCTTGGTTCCAGCTTAGGTTGTGACCTCACAGGGAGTGGAATCAGCTCTGCGTTGGGCTGTCAGAGGACACCATGGAATCTGCTTCAGATTCCTTCTTCCCCTCAACCCCCCTCTGTTCCTCCCCACTCATGTGCTCTCTCTCCCTAAAAATAAATTTAAACCCCCCCCCCAAACCCAAACAAACCAAAGAGAATGTAAGACATGGGAATGACAATCAGATTTATGCTTTGGAAAGAACACCTTGGTTGGAGTGTATGTTACTATAATAGACAGTGCTTTCAAAACTTTTAAACATATTTAAGTATGCACATAGAATGGGAGGCTGGCTGTATAGGACGACGTGCTTTGACCTGTATTCAAGGTCCTGGCTCTGCTCAACAAATGCTTGAACAAATCATCTGGTACCCAATAGGTACTTCCATCTACGTACATTTCCTTCCCCTTTTCCTTCCTCTGAATACACTGATTAAAAAGAGAGCCAACAGATAAATCTTGAGGATATAATGCAGAGGACTTAATAGGCCCTCAAGAGGCAGTAAGGGAGGGAAACAAGAATGGAAGGGGTTCCTTGGGCTTATGGCATGAGGACAAACAACTTTTCTCGAGTTGAAAGGCTGACAGACTTAAGAAGTAGAGAGGAGGAAAGTTTGCAGAGTTTCCATTAACTGGGAAAAGGGTGGAAAAGAAGCAGTAGACATTAGATCGACAAATGTGAAAACTCCCATCAGGGTTAGGTAAATAGGTCTTACTGAGGCCTTAACATGTTAACCTGCAATGGTGGTAAGAGCAGTTGTGGAAACACTCCCCAGCAGCACTGAGCAAGTTGGGAGGAACAAAGATGGGGGTGGTTGGACGAAACCAGGACTGGGAACTGGCAGGATGAGGACCTAAGGAAAGGAGGAAAGTGATCCGAGAAAGCCCCTAAACAGCTGCCAGAAGTGAATGACTGTAGGGCATAGGTCAAGAAGGGAAGGAAGTCAAGTTGGAAGTTAACAGAGTGAAATAGAGTAGAATAGAGAAGGGCTAATGGATTTAAAATCTCGCTGAAAATTATTTATAACATAATTTAGCCTTCATTCTTTTGGCTTTGGCAAGGAAAAAAATCAATTTATTTTTTGAACCTCTATAGACTAGAAAATAGGAAAATTTCAAAATTACAGGTCTTCTACATCCAAAATCCAGTTTACTTTGGTTCCAAGACATTCCTTTAAGCAGAAAAAAAAAAAAACACAAAAAAACTGTAGTTTAAACCTAAGTAGATAAATTAATATATTTTTACTAGATTTAAAGTACTCTTACATTGTTCTTCTGTATTGACAACTATGATTATAGTTCAAGGTGAAAAGAATAGACTTTTGATTACTTAATGGATAAAATGACTCTTTTCGTAAGTCTCCAATTCAAGGTCAAGCATTTCTGTCCTTGACAAAGACCAGATACAAATGACAAAGGAATCATGAATAGCACCAGGCCAAAATTAATTTGATTAGGTAAGGAATAATCAACTTAAGCAGCCTTCATCTTAACGGTAAATATTTTTATATAGTTAGCATTAGATCTTTTTGACTAATCTTTAAGTTTTTAAGTAATGGATACATAAACACAGTTCAAATTTCCATAATGCAGCATAAATACCCATGATTTTCAATTAAAATGGAAGATACAAATTATTTTAAAAACTAGTGAAGGTACTACCCAACTCTTCAAAGGTTGGGTTGAAGGCTTCAGTGAGATTTTTTCATGCAAGTTCATAGTGATTAAATCTGCCAAAACATATTATAATGGAACCAAACAAGCAAAATGCAATGTTTCTGGAAAACAGTTTCATTGGGGGAGGTCAGCAACACTTGTAAACTAAGGAATCAGGGTTTTTCTTTTCTTTTCTCCTACCTCTTGTTGCCAGGTGGCTCCAGGGTGTTCAGGGTAGAAAGTACACAAAAGGGATAGAGAGTCAGGGTTAAAGCACTATAAAGCTAATTGAGTACCTGACAGCAGAGCCTTTGACTACTTTCCAGCCAGGCACTAGCTCTCAGGTTAACACTTCTCATTCCTTTAATCAGAGATTAAAGATACCTATTTCCCTTTTTATTCAAGCACCAATTGCCTTTAAGGGGGAGTAGTGACCTCAGTAGCAAGGAAAAGGGCGTTTCCCCCTGCTTTTGTACTTAAGGTGAGCAAACAGCTCTTTTATGATTTTTACTTACTAACCAGTAGGAAACTACAAAAAGGCTTAAATAAAGGCTCCTCCCTAAAATACTCTTTCCATGTACCTTTTGTTTCTTCTCAAATGGAAAGACATTGCTGTATCCAGGTAGCAATCTGTTTTGGGGTCACAAATTATAAGGAAAAAAATGAATGAATTTGGACTAGCGTATAAATTCCATTAAGTGGAGTCTCCCTGGTTAAAAAGCAGAATTTGCTGGGCAGGGAAGAAGAAAAAAAAGGAAGAGGGTAAGAAAAAAGACTAGTGCACTTACTGCTTATCACAGTCAGCTTTTTCATGGAAGATTTTAGTGAGGGAGTTTCCAAGAAGAGACCGAGATATTATAAGTAACAACATTTAGGAAGAAAGCGGAGGTCGTGGTCTCTGGGCCAGCTCGCTACAGAAACTGGTCCCAAGGAGTCACTGACTTGAAACTGGGGTAGGCGAATGGGAAATTGCCCATATAGCACAGTTAGGAAGTATCTGGATAAAAATTCCTGGAAGCTGAAGTCTTCTTTATTGACAGAATCAACAGAACATTTGTGGCAGTTGTCCATAAGGTCCAGACATAGCACATTCTGACATTCAAATCAGACCTACTTAAATGTGGCTCGTTTTGATTCTTTCAACTTTGTACTATGATGATTATCTGTACAAAGGGGTTCTAAATCGAAACCACCTCATTCACATCACCCCTATTCACTCGGTTTGTGGAGAGTGACAGCTCGGTCCAAATTTTTAAAAGTGATAGGCTAAAAGACAAAAAAATAGTCAACTGCAATAAGCTACCAGGTCTAACTGGAAATGGCTTAATATTATTCATTCTCTTCTTTGAACATTTTGCTTAAGTGCTTAATTAGGGCTACGAGCTCAGGGTTCCCACCACGTGCATCGATTTGTTTATAGGCTTTAGATTCAAGCTCTTTAAGAGTACTCCGAGTGTATTCAAAAGAACCTACATCCTCGAGATAATGTACACAGTATTTTTTAATATCTACATTCTCGGTTCTCTGACGCAAGATATTCTGCACCTGCGTGCTTTCAGGCCTCGACCAAATAGCATGAATAGTAGGAAAGGAGAACTTTCCCTCTGTTAGATCTTCACAAAAGCTTTTGTTTTCACTATACTCTTTGGAGTGTAAATTAGCATAATCATCCCTAATTTGGAAAAAGAGCCCCAGTGTATTAAGCAGTGGCTTTAGATCTTCTTTGTAGTCAGAGAACAACTGCATGAGACCTACTGCTAATCCGAAGAGTCCACCTGTCTTCTGCAGCACCATTGCTTTATATTCTTCTTCAGTGGGACAAGTGTAATTATCCCTCCAATAAATATCTAGACCTTGTCCCTGATGGAGTTCCAAAAGCTGGTGGGTAAAAAGCTTCACTGCATCTGGGTGATTAAGGGTTAAGACTTTCTCGAGGCCAAGGAAATACACATAATTGGCAGAATTGATGACAGATGGAATTCCATAGATGCTGTGTGCCACTGGAAAGCCACGTCGGAGTTTTGAGTTGTCTTCAATATCATCGATGAGCAAACTGGCATTATGCAACATTTCTGTCACTTCAATGATAATCTAACAAAAAAGATAGGTGACAATTTCATTTAGTTTGACCTATTCAAAACAGCTTATAAATACTTAACAGATTATGAGAGTCTCAGATTTCTTAGTTTTTGCAATGAATAATTATTTAGCAACCTCAATATAAAACAATACATGTATCCACATTAAACTCAATTAAGAGCAAAGAGTATTTTATGTCCCATATATTAATTTGTTAGGGATTAAGAATGAGGTTAGAATTGCCTAAATACCTGTAGTTTGTCTTCTGGAACTTTTAGCCAATGATTAAATGCCTGTGAAAGTTTGGTTCTCACTTGTTTACCTGAAATTAAAGAATAAAATTTGGCAATAAAATTAATATTTCAGTTATTAAAAAAACATTCAGAAACTTCCTTGGAAATTGTTGAGACTTGAATCCAGGCCCATCACTGCTGCCCCCCCCCCCCCCACACCGCCCCCTCTACCAAAATTCGCATTCTGAAAGCTCACAGTCTTTTGAAATCAGGGCATGCAAGGAGATTCTAAAGTATGCAAATGGCCCACTAGTAAGCCCACTCCTTTCATCTTAAGTTGTATCAACAATTTTGGAATGAAATATGGGCATTTTAGGAACTATGATCTAATTCATTCCTTTTCTGAAAAATAAGCCAGTCTAGTCAGTGGCAGTTAATCAGCAATGTCTGTTTTCAGAGAACTGTAGGTATTTCTAATGAATTGTACTTTGCTATTGAATTCAATAAAATATCATAAAACTACCTCTTAAAATTATCTACCATTTCTTTAAATTAAGGTTTTAGAGACTGTACAACTCTGCTTCTTTCCTATAAAAAAATGAGATGACCATTCCCTGAAGTATTCCCTTTCAGCATTCCAGTTTAGTCAAAAGTTAATCTTTTTATTTTGACTAGGGCCATTAGTTTTTCAATATTATCATTTTCTTACATGGAAAGCTCAAGAGGTTTTTGGTTTTTTGCCCAAATATAAAGGAATGGTAGATAAACTCTAACCAGTTCTTTTAATAGCATTCTACAAGTTTCCTGCTAGAGTGAATGCACAGTAACATCCTAATTTCAGATGGTTTCAGAAAAAGTTACATAAGTTTCAGTGAACAGAAACAGTATTTTCTAAGACCTATCTATGTATTCTCTGCACCAGTCACCCAAGCAAATGAATAAACTCTCATCACATATCCAAATGAAAAAAAGTTGCACTTTTTGTGAGAAGTCTAAAAGAGAAGGATCTCTTAAGGTTCAAGAAGCAGTATTTTCTGTCTACTAACCTTTAAGGTGAGCATGGTCTGGGTAGCAGATATATAGTTTGTACTTTGTTCTACTTTCCAGTTTAACAAAGGCCAATCTGAGCTATACTGACAAAGTACATCTGTGCAAAGTAACCATATCGCTTTAAAAAACAAGTTTAGAAGATGAAGAACACAAAGAATCAATGTGGAGCCACATTTTTCCTTTTTGCTTTTGAATGTACATAGAAAAGAGCACATAAATGGCTTAACTTATAGGTAATGTAGTTGTGTTTCAGTGTTTTTTTCCTTTAACCATAATCTGGGGTCTGGGTTGATAGTTTCAAGGCCCTAAATAATTTCTAACAGGTGCTAGTCACAGAGATCCCTCAAAATTAAAAGAAACACATGATAATTACCTTTCTTCATTTATTTATTTTTTAAATATTTTATTTATTTATTTGACAGAGATCACAAGTAGGCAGAGGCAGGCAGAGAGAGAGGGGGTAGCAGGCTCCTGGCTGAGCAGAGAGCCCGATGCGGGGCTCAATTCCACGACCCTGGGATCATGACCTGAGCCGAAGGCAGAGGCTTAACCCACTGAGCCACCCAGGTGTCCCCTTTCTTCATTTATTTCTTAAAAATATTTATTTTAGAAGGAGAAGAGTGTGTGAGTGGGGGTAGGGGCAGAGAGGGAGGGAAAGGACAAGCAAACTCTATGCTGAATGTGGAGTCTGATGCTAGGGCTTGATGCCCATGACGCCAAGATCATGACCTGAGCCCAAGTCAAGAGTCTGATGCTCAACTGAGCCACCCAAGAACCCCCTAGTTACCTCTCCTCTTTTAAAGACTTTAATGTTACTAACTCCCGACCTGGGGACCTACCCTAGGGCAAATAAATAAAAGTCATTTGACTTCACAAATTCCAGAAAATCCTAATACTAATAATTGCTAATTATTATAATCTTTTAATAGCAAGAGTAACTTTTTGACAGAATAAATGGCCTGGCCCACCTTTAAGTCACTTTAGGAACTCTGAGTTCTCTGTGAAAAACAGGTTTATTATGCATAATGCAATTTCCTATCTCTTTTTTAAAGATTTATTGTGGGGGGAGAAGACTGCATGTGCAAGCAGAGGGGCAAGAAGAGGAGAGAATCTCAAGCAGACTCCTTGTGGAGCCCGATGAGGGATCAATCTCGTGACCCTAAGATCATGACCTGAGCTGAAATCACGAGATGGACACTTAACAAACTGAGCAGCCCAGACACCCCCCCATTTAAGAAAAATTTTTAACTTAAATTCAATTTAGTTAACACACACTGTATTATTAGTTTCTGGGGTAGAATTTAGTGATTCATCAGTTGCATATAACACCCAATGCTCATTATATCATGTGCCCTCCATCACCTAATTCCCCCACTCCCTCTTTTTAAAGATTTTTATTTATTTTTGTTTTGTAATTTATTTTTTAGATTCTATTTATTCATTTGAGATACAGAGGGAGAGAGCGTGAGTTGGGGGAGGAGCTAAGGGAGAAGGAGAAAAGCAAACTCCCTGCTGAGCAGGGTGCCTGACATGGGCCTTGATCCCAGGACCCCCAGATCATGAGCTGAGCCAAAGGCAGATGCTTAAATGACTGAGTCACCCAGGCACCACAAAGATTTTTATTTATTTATTTATTTTTTCAAGATTTTATTTATTTGACAGAGATGACAAGTAGGCAGAGAGGCAGGCAGAGAGTGGGGAAGCAGGCTCCCTGCTGTGCAGAGAGCCCGATGTGGGGCTTGATTCCAGGACCCTGGGATCATAACCTGAGCCGAAGGCAGAGGCTTTAACCCACTGAGCCAACCCAGGTGCCCCAAGATTTTTATTTTTTAAGTAATCTCTACACCCAGCAGGGGGCTTGAATTTACAACCCCAAGAGTCACATGCTCCATTGATTGATTCAGCTAGGTGCTTCATAATTTTCTGTTTCTTTAGGAAAATCTTTTGAGGTTATATTCTAAAATGGATGCAAGATTGTATTAGATAGTAAAAAAGTGAGATACCTAATGAGAGTTTTAAATGTTAAAATACTATAGGATAATGAGGATTAAATAAAAATGTTACAGAAGTTCATTACACAGGTAAACATTATTGCTAAAATTAGCTACAGATGGTCCTTGTTTTGCTTAGCAGAACAGGAGACACTCCTTAGATGCTTTACAGCACTGATAACTGGCATGTATTACCATAGCCCAGTTCTAGCCAGTGTCTGCAAACTTGTTACAAAGTAAGTCCAACAATGGGTAAAGTGCAGGAGAAACATCATCCTGTTTCTCAGCAGGAGACCCTCTAATAAGTGTAGTTACTAGCTGCTGAATAAATCACTCAAAAGGGGTCTCTTGATTTTTCTTTTTTCGGGGGAAGTGGGTGGGGCAGAGGGAGAGAGAGAACTTGATCTCAAAATCAGATTCTGAAATCTGAGCTGAAATCAAGAGTCAAGATGCTTAACTGACTAAGCCAACCAGATGCCTTCTTGGCTTTTTCTTAAAAAGCAGGCAACTTTTCATTATTCTTTTCTCTTTCTTTTTTTAAAAAAAGATTTATTTATTTGAGAGACGGCACATGCACGTGTGCAATGGGGGCGAGGGGCAGAGGGAGAGAGAGAAGCGCACTCTCTGCTGAGTGCAGAGCCCCAATATGGGGCTTGATCCCAGGACCTGGTACCATGACCTGAGCTGAAGTTAGATGCTCAACCGACTGAGCCACCCAGGTGCCCCCCTAGTCAACTTTTTGAGCTGTACTTACAATAATTGTAGTACGTAGTTATATATCAATATATCAATAAAAAGTAGCACCATGACAAGGGCAAGGCAGTCAACGTTGTCTGCCCTGGATGTAGGCAATAAAGAGGTGCACTACCTTTAATGAATTTAAAAATAGTAACAGACCCTGGGTGTCTTGAGTGGCTCAGTTGGTTGGGCATCTGCCCTCAGTGCAGGTCACGGTCTGGGGGTCCTGGGATGGAGCCCTACATTGGGCTCCTTGCTCAGTGGGGAGCCTGCTTCTCTCCCTCTGACTGCTACTGCTTGTGCTCTCTCTCTGTCAAATAAATAAAAACTTAAAAAAATAGTAACAGACTGACTAGTTTTTAAAAAAGTGTAAATCTTCTTTGTCCTTTGGATCTTGAGGATTTCATCTTTAATATGTTAATATTTTAACTTTTAAGAAGCAGGATTTTATTTTATTTGTCTCTGGACTCATCATAGTGGAAGGTAATTTATATCTAACAAATTTAGGATCCGTTTACATTGCTTCTATAGTACTATGGAATATCTTTATGCTGTCAATTAGATTTCATTTAATAAGCTTTGGTGAGTTATTACTTTTTTTAAAGATTTTATTTGGGTGGGGGACACAGCAGGAGGAGTGGGAGAGGGAGAAGCACGCTTCCCACCAAGCAGGGAGCCCAATGCAGGGCTTGATCCCACGACCCCAGGATCATGACCTGATCCAAAGACGCCCTGGTTCCCTCCATTTTTCTGAAACACTGACATTAGCAGGTACGTCTCCATATAGGTCCGCCAGAATAGAAATGACGCTAATCATGATGGCTTTCAAGATGTAGCTGGGGAGCTACCACTCTTCAGCTTCTGATAACCATATTTATCCTCTCCAGGCTATGAAGAATAGAAACACACATAATACCACGGAGGTGGGCCCACAAAGAAAGGTGTGCACTTTAGAACAAAAATGAACAAGTGTTTATTGTGATTGATTTGAGAACATCACTGGTCTATAGGTTAGCTATCTTATGGGCTAAATAGGTTTTTATGGTTGTCAACTAATTCACCATCTTTTATGTAATTTCTACAAGAAAGTACATTCCAAGTTTCAAGTAACTGGTCTGTGAATGAATTTTTATTATAGGAACCCACCCTTATTATATATATGAGTTTTGAGTTTTAACTTGCTATCACCATTTTCCAGACCAAGTTAAAAAAATAGCAAAATAAAACATACATATACATGTGATTAGGCAGGTGTTACCGTAAGAAGCCATGTTCAGGTGACCCATCTACATGTATGAATAATGTGGGCCTTGTTTCTAAGTAATGTGACTTAGAGATGCATTACTATTTGGCTCTTAAAGGAACTAGTAGCATAAGAAATGCAGTGAGTAGATGACAGTGGAAAACATGAACGTGGAAAGTAAAGCTTTTTGTTGTTACATAAATTGGCATAAAAGCCCCTGACACCTAAATAGTAGGGAATAGGAACATGTGGCATCCCAAAACCTCCAATGACGTACTCAAATGTTTTCAGTATTTTTTTTTTAGTTATGTTGTATAAATGGACATTTTTAAAAGGGTATGTCAAAAATACCCCCCCCCTTTTTAAATATTTTATTTATTTATTTGCCAGAGAGAGAGCAGGGGGAGTGGCAGGCAGAAGGAGAAGTAGGCTCCTCACTGCCCGATCCGGGACTCGACCCCAAGTGAAAGGCAGATGCTTAACCGACTGAGCCAGCCAGGCATCCCCAAAATATCCCCTTTAAGAACATAAAACTAAAATGTTCTATTTGTAATTTTCCTTGTATGTATCCCTTATTAAATAGGAAATCTCAAGAGCTAGTAAGTCTAATCTTTTCTGTATGCTAGCATTTGAATGACCACAACTCTATCACAAGACTCTATATGGATCTATGGACCATAACTAAACAGTTACCTGGTAACTGAAGTAAATACTTATAGGGTTCTAGAAGAATTCTTTGGACTGTTTCTTGAGTCTTCTCCATTGTTTTTAAACTTCAAAGCTGATCTGTGAAAAAGGAGAAATATAAAGATAATCTTAATAACTGAATTAATTTTGAGTTCCAAATGCAAAGGGATTTGTATCTCAAGTTGTTTTTGTACAGGCAGACTTTCAGTATGTTATATAAGAAAATTCTACATATATGAAATCTTGAAACATGGTAAGTAAAAGGAGCCCATCTTCAGAAAAGGAAAATCACAAACACAGAAAGCAGATTGATGACTGCCTAGCACTGTGGTAGCAAGAAGAGGGAGTATGAAGTTTCTTTCTGTAGGAATTAAAATACTCTACAATTAGATTGTGGTGATGGTTGCACAACCCTATGAATATACTAAAATGTTAACTTTATATGGGTGAACCACACATGTAAATTATCTCATAAGAAAAAAAGGAAAATCTTCAAGTGATTTCATTGGTCAGAGTATTCACCTGGGTTGTAAGTGATTTCCTCAGTTACATAACTTAAACTAAGCCATTCTTATTTTACTCAACCATAAGGGCTTAAATTGTTGACATCAAATCAATGTCAAAATAAATCCACAGAATTAGATACTTCTATATTTGACTGATTACATAAATTAGTAAACATACTTTTTTCAATGAGCATTAGAATGAATAAATTTTATATCTTAAAATATAAGGCGAAAACTTCTCTCTTATACTTTCTTTATAATCAATCCATTTCAGAGATTCTAATTTAAGACGTACACTAACTTGAATAAAATTATCAAAAATATTACCTTGTATACACACACACACACACACAATTCCCTTGTAGCGATTTATTATTGGGAGTTTTACCTTACTTCAGTGTTTTCTAGAATACCATTTGTGGCCTTCCTCCTATACTTTTTTACTGTTGAATCCAACCCCTACTTGGCTTTTTTGTATCTTTTGCTATTTTTATTTGTCCTTATCTTAGGAATCTACTTTTCTAATTACTCTGACATCTTGGCACATTTTAGGTGGCTTCTCACCTTTATCTGTTTTCTTTTGTTTCTATAACAATGATTTATTTGGTCTTTAGAATCATGAACTGAAAGGATCAAAAAGTGTGTTTTCTGTAATCTCCTCTTGAGTAACAAGGAGAAACAATCTTCAGAATTGAGCACTCCAGCAAAGGAAATCATCTTAGCAATATGACCTCAAAGAGAAACATTCCATGTAGAAATGGAATGCCTTGACTGCTCTGATTTACACCTTCCTTGACTGACAATTAATACCCAGTATGTCACAGGGGAAAAAAAAGTTCGAAAATATTTTGAAACTATCTAAAAACTAGTAACCTCTTATCTATACTGTTTAAACTTTAACATGTTGCCTCATTTTTTTTTCCTTTTTCTATTTTATCTATTTAGATAGATAAAATAGATTTTATCTATTTATTTGTCATAGAGAGAGAGAGAGGGCACACGCAGAGGAACAGCAGGCAGAGGGAGAAGCAGGGTCCCTGCTATGCAAAGAGCCCAATGTGGGACTCGATCCCAGGACCCTAGAATCATGACCCAAGCCAAAGGCAAGATGCTTAACCAACTGAGCCACCCAGGCGTCCCGACATATTACCTCATTCTTAAGAGATCAGAAAAAGATGACAAGCAGGAAGAATAATCACTTAAATAAAAGATTATTAAACAGAATTAAAGGTAGGATAAACAAAAAAAGGGATCTTATACTTCTGCATTTAGAACAGTTGGTAGCCATCTCTTCCATAACAGGTTGAGAGCAATAATCATGTTCATCTTTTTTCACAACCTTCAGAACACACTTAACTTGAAATAATGAGTCTACCTTTCAAGAACTCTTTTGTCTTCATCTGGAGACAGATATACTCTTGCCCAGAAGTCAGTGCTAACTAACCTTTGTTCCAATTCTTAAGGCTTTGGTTGATGCCATTAAAAAACAAAAAATATGAATTATAAATTTTTAAAAATTATCTTTTTAGAAAAGATTTTATTTATTCATTTGACAGAGAGAGACAGAAGACGGAACACAAGCAGGGGGAGTAGGAGAGGGAGAAGCAGGCTTCCACTGAGCAGGGAGCCCAATGCAGGACTCGATCCCAGGACCCTGAGATCGTGACCCGAGCCGAAGGCAGAGGCTTTAACCCAATGAACCACCCAGGCGCCCACCTTAAGAAACTCTTAATAAGTAAGTGAATTAATGTTCCTTTCCTACAGGATGTTTATACACAAGTATTCTCAGTAGTGGGAAAACACAGGAACCTCAATTTTTCTAGATATTGAAAAGTAATCTGTTTTGTGTCTTAAGTCTCAGGGTTTCTACATACAGCGGCCTATACCCTACCTGCTTCCTCACCCCCCTGCCCCTTTTTAATGCAAAGCCTCCTATTGTGGCTGGAAATTTCAGTCATCAGATAGGTATTAGACTCCAACATAAAGAAGCATTGTTACATGAAATCAACTATCTTGTTTTTAGATTGAATAACTACAGAATGCCTCTGTGAGAGTCTGAAACTACTCACTTTCAAAACTGGAAAACTGCCTTTAATTTGTTCATACAATTGATGGATGAATATTAACATAAAAATAACTGTCCCCCCTGTATGGACTACTACTGACATAATCTGGTTGGGCTCCCTGCATTTGCCCCTCTAATGTAGACCTCTACTCTTCGGCCAGCAAAATTTAGATCTGGCCTTATTTCCCAACCGACTGAGAACCCTTCGGAGACATCCCTTTGCTCTTAGGTAAGAACACACTCCCTAACAAACTGTCTGGAAGACTGGGCTACTCCCGCCTCCCCCGCCCCCAGCTTCAGTTCTTCACACTTTATTTTATTATCATCATTTTTGTTATTACTATGTTAGTTCTTCACACTTTAAAATCTCTCTCTAGATACAAGGCTCCCAAGATGTTATTTTTTTCCGCCTGGAAAGTTCTTTCCCTATTAACTCCTGCTAACCCACTCTGAGCTCGATCCTCACTCTGCTTCCCTTAAGTCGAATTCCCTATTCCAAATCATCACGTAACTCTCCTTCGCAGCACTCACCACTGTTACCAACTTCACACCCACTTGTGGGTCCACTTTACTCCCGTCTGTACCGTTTTCCAGACGGCAGGCGCCCAGTAAGCACGGGAAGGACTGAATGAACCTCATGGTTCTAAAGCGCTGGAGGATGAAATCAGGGCATACACTTGCAGTATAAAAAGTCAGAATACCGTGCAAGTTGCTTTTTGTTTTTTTAAAGGGAATGATCTGATTTCAAAATTGCTAAGTGGTGCCAGACGAGTATCAGTGTAGCTGGAAACGCAGAACGGATCCTTCCACTCAAACCCCGGGAGGTGACAGACCTGAACAAAACTGCCCGAGCTACAGGCAGCGGATTTAAATAACTTCGAGGCAGATTTTTAGCAGAGACTTGGCCAAAGCGCTTCCCGGCGCTCCTCTGCTAGTCGGAGCCCGCAGGGCCGGTGAGGTTCCTGCTTCCTCTCGGTTCGGATGCACCCTTCCGCCCTACTGTGTCACCCACCGCTCCTCCCCTTCTCCAGCGAGGATGGAAAATTCATACACAATCCGGTTCAGCATCCGGGTCCTCACCCTCCTTTCTTTCTTTCCCCTCGACCCCGCCTTCCCGCCTCCCCCGCCCTCACTCCCATCCGGGTCCCCCCCGGCCGCCACCACAGCCGCTCACGGTTCAACGGTGATATCACAACTTTCGCGCCGCCGGCCCGGGAGTAGTAGTGCCCAGCATCAACTTCCCACTTTATAGTTCAGAACAACGCTCCGCCTGACGCCTACATGGATCCCTCCCCCTACTTCACCACAGAACTCTCCGCCCTCTTCAGCCGCCAGCGACGCCGCATTACTCGGTGCAAGAAAATGCGCCATCCCGGTCACACTGCGCAGGCGTCGTTGCCGCCTCCCTACTGCTTTGTTGCCCCGCCCCTTCCCCTCCCCCCACTACTTGCCTCACGCGGACGCGGGGCATTGCGGGTCTTGCAGTTCTCCTGGGCAAAGGCTTTCGCATTGGCCCCAGAGGTTGGACTACATTTCCCGGGAAGCTTTGAGGAGTAACTTTCTGTTTCCATAGAAGTGGTGGGAAAATGGCGTCGTTGTTTGTATCCCGGGGACCAATAAGAATAGGGGATGGGCGGGTTCTAAAGAATGCTAACCAATCCGAGGTCGTCTGAGGGGCCATCCGGGAAAGAGGTAGGGGAGGGGAAAATATCTAGGGGAGGGGAGAAAGAAGGGAGGGGGGCTCTTGGGGTGGGGGGGGAAGCGATGTTTGCCCGTCAGTCGAGTCCGGAGTGAGGAGCTTGGGCGCCGGAGCGGAGGGAGACTCTTGAGCTGAAGCTTGCCGCCGCCACGGCCACCGCCTGGACCTTTGCCCGGAGGGAGCCGCAGAGGGTCTGGCGCCGCCGTCCTCTGGAGGGCAGCGCGATCCGGGGCCCGGACCTCCAGTCCGGGAGGGATTTTTCGTCGTCCCCCCCCCTCCCCCCAGCGAGGGAGCCCGAGCGGCCGCCAAACAAAGGTACCAGTCGCCGCCGCGGGAGGAGGAGGAGCCGGAGCTTCAGCCTCAGCAGCCGCTGGACCCGCCGCCCTTCTTCCCCCATCTCTCCCCCGGGCCTGCTGGTTTTGGGGGGGAGCAGGGGAGGGAACTCTGGACGTGCCAGGGTGAGAGCTCGCCTCCGCCGAAGGTAGGGGCATTTTCTGAGGCTTTCGCGGTCCCGTGAGGGGTCCTTTCGGGAGTCCGCGGGCCCGGCCGAGGAGCAGGGGGCGATCGCTCGGTGGTCTCGCCGGGCGCCCGGATTCGGGGCCTCCGCCTTCCGGGAGCCCCCGCCCCCGTGCAGTTGCCGAGTCCGAGTCGCCCCCCAGCCTGGCGGCTGCACACTCAGCGATTTAGCGTCTCTGGGCCGCGGTGGGGGGCCCGGGCCGGCGGGGGGCAGTGTCTGCTCCCGGCCCCCCGGTCCTCTGGCGGCCCCCGCGGCCCGGGAGCCGGGGATCCCGCTCGCACTTGTCTGGTCTCCGCCTCGGAGCGGGACGTGGGCAGCGGCTGAGCGGCGGGTCGGTCCTGCCCGCGGCCCTCCGGCCCGCCTGGCCTCTCCGCCGCCCCCACCCGGGGCCCCTCGGGCCCGGGCCTGCTCCGGCTCGGAAGCGGGGCTGCGCGACCCTCTGGGGCGCCGACCCGCTCGGCCGGGCCCGGAGGCCCTCGGGGAGGACAGGCAGCCCCGCGCCGGCCCCCGGGCTTGTTGTGAGTTTCTTCTCTGACAGAAATGGCGTCATTGTCGGAGACGGGAAACTCTGTCGGGTCCCGACAATGGGGACGGGAAGCGGCCGAGCTGTGGAGGTGGCTGGGTTTGCGGGGCTGGCGAGGCCACGGGGAGCCCCTCGTCTGCGGTTCGCGGTTCGGGGGCTGACGTCCGCCACGGCGCTTTCTTCGGGGTTCGGGCCGCGCTCGGTTCCCTCCGCCTCCGCCGGTGCAGAGGGTGCGTGTGGTGCCGACTGGGTGTCTTTTGTTTCCCCTCCAGGTGCAGGTGAATCTGGTGTTTTCGAGGGGATCGCGGTCCCAGAATCATCATGAAGGTAAGATTGCGTAGAGGAAACGACCTCTGGGGTTCTAGAATTGGGGAAGGGGGGGTGATCGGGCTTGTGTGTGGGGCCTCCGAGTTTCGCCGAGGAAGATGTGCGGGGCGGCCTGGTGCCCGAGCCCCTTCCCCTGGAGACGGTGGGGTCCGCTGGCGTGGCTCTCTGTGGCTCTGCTGTGGAGTTGGGGCCACTTACAGGAGGTCGCACTGAGCACGGCTCTCCCATATCGAACGTCTCTTTCTGCAGGGTAAGGCAGGAGTAACTGCATGAAATAAACTGTTTTAAAAGGTAAAACAGAAAAAGCAGGTCAAGTAATCCGACTCTGGAAACTGAACTGTGTTGTGGTTCTAGCGATTACACTGATGAAAGAAAATCCCGTCTGTTGCGTGTACCTTGCTGGGAATTTCTAGCAGAAGACCTGTTTGTTTGCTGAGAAAATAATCTGAACTGAAAGATTTTTAAAGAGAATCTTTATGATCTTTACACAACTCAGAGATATTACTTTTTCCTGGGATTTAGGACCCTACTTTTTTTTTTCCCTTGGTTGATCCGTTTAGTCTAAATTGTCAGATGTTGTGATAAAACCAATGTGGATTGATGTGGAAAGCCCATGGCCAGATTCCTCTTAAATGTAAACACGTTAACCGAATGGAGGATAATGTGTAAAAAGTAGAATTTACTTAGTTGGTGGAAGAGATCATGACAATGGAAGTGTAGGTTTTTATTTTTTGGAGACTATGTAATAGAATGGTGTTATTTTTTATACACTGGGGAATAAAAAGCCTTAGATACTCTGGCCTGTTTAGATTCAACTGGTAGAACTTAGAGACTAGAGATATTTTTCATCCATGACAAATTCGGAAGTGCTTGAAACGGTAGGGTGTGTTCACAAGTATAGGAATGCATAGAATAGTATCTGAAAATGTAAATGTCTGCTTTTGATAGTTCCTTTGAATTATTTGAAAACAAGTTTTTTTCTGTTCAGGATGGATTTGCTTTTATAGTACTGCATCTAAATGAAAATTTGTAATGCTTCTGTTTATGAAAGAAAGTAAAAGCTGTGACTACTTAAATATCAGCTATACGCAGTAATTTTAGTTTTTCTTTTCCTTTTTTAGTTTTTTTTTTTTCTTCTTGAGTTTGGATGCTATAAAGTATCTGAAACAGTTTATATCTGCTGAATTGTTGTCTCACCTTCATGTAAATGAAAAAAGTAGTCAGTGATGTTTCAGAAACAGATCCCTTTTGTTAGTCACAGATGCTAGCTATAACTCCTGGGACCTGTATAAAACAGTGACAAGTGAATTTGTTAGGAAAAACCGTATATCTTCCTTGGTGTTGGGTGAGAACTTCTTAAAGGAAAGTGTTGGGTTGAATAACATATAATAAATTCAGAAGCTGAATAATATAGGATTTAGTTTCTGGTAGATACTGCAATCTGTCATAGTTCCCAATGTACTGCCTGGCACGTCTTTGGTGTTCTGTTAATATTTGATTAAAAGAAATGTAGTAAGTTGAAGGTCCTTAAGATTTAAATTTTCTTTCCTTTTCTTTCATTTCCGTTTTTTTTTAACTTGTGTGTTTAAAAAATGAAAGTACGTTGGAAACTTTAGCCTTAAGAGTGTCATAGTATTAGGCAAATGCAAATTTTTTGGTATAATTTTAGAACTACTAATTTTAAGTGCTTAGTATTTCCATTAACATTGCCTTTTTAAAAAAGGGTACTACTGATGTTGAAAGGAAGAGTTATTAATGTAAATTTCTGATTTTATACAAGAAGAACTTCCTGTTTATTGTATATATAGTGAGTCTTTTCTTTGGGAGTCTACTGATAATCAGCAGTACTACAAACTTAGCTTATTTCTTACAACTTGATTTCTTACATGGTGAACATTGAGAGGCTGCCCATGATTGATTGGCATTTTGCTTTAACAAAGTTGCAATTCAGAAAGTACTTAATAGTAATTATAGTGGGCTCACATTTTCTCTTTTTTTTGTGTTCCCAGTTTCTAAATTGTAATGACAACAGACTTATAGGAGGATTAATGCTATTTATCAGATCTCACCAAACATATTTGTACTTTGAGGCAGGTTTTTAAGTTTTTATTATCAGTTTTATTAGTCACAAGAAATTTTTTTAAAGTTTTGTTAAATGACAGTGTATTGATCTCATTGAAAGAATGTTTAGTAATACTTTTCTGGTTGTTGCTTTAAAATCCAAAAATAAAGAAGAATGTATATATCATTTTAAATGTTAGGTTCGAAACAATTTTTAGAAACCGTTGTTAGAAACAATTTTGCTATAGTACTTCAAGAGTTTATTTAAATAAACCCATTTAGTCACTAGTATATTCTATCTTGTAATATTTTTACCCAGTGCGTTTTTGAGAAATAGCACTGTAATACAAAAGCAGTTTTATTCTTAACATACGTCATGATATGTGGTTTTGTTGGATTTTTTATACTTTTAAAAAAATTTTATTTATTTATTTGACAGAGTGAGACTTAGTGAGAGAGGGAACAGAAGCAGGGAGAGTGGGAGAGGGAGAGGCAGGCTTCCCGCCTTGGAGGGAGCCTGATGCCAGGCTCCATCCCAGGACCCTGGGATCATGACCTGAGCGGAAGGCAGATGCTTAATGACTGAGGTGCTCTGGATTTTTTTATACTTTCTATAGATCTTTCAGTGTCAGTGATAGCACATTTTCAGGAAATCCTAGATTATTAAAAGTTGTAAATGATTTCAAGACTTAATTTTAATTATTTCAGATTCATTTCCTACTTTTTTCTAACTAAAACTGTTTCCTTATACATTGTGCACGTTATTAACATCTCACATTGCAGTAAATTTTTAAGTAAAGTGGGAGAAGCTGGAGAGGCTGGAGATTTCAGAATCTTTATGGAATAAGTGATTTAGGTGGTTGTGCCTAGAATCTTGGAGAGATGGGCTTTTTCAGATGTACCATTCTCTTCCATAATCACTGCCTTTAGAAACATAAAAATAATGGATTGATTATAAACGCCCTTTGCTTTTGTGCATGTT